CGAGCCGTGTCAGAATAGCCGTGTCAGAATAGAAAAAAAAATTAAAACATTTTGGCCAAAGGAATGCATTGCTAGATTCCTATTGGCTATTTCAATTTGCAATAGCAAACTAGCATTGCACCCGCCCTCTGCTGCAGTTCCCCATCAGGTCCATTACTACTGATTGACAGCAGCAGAGGGTGGGTACAATAGCTGGCTGGGAGCCGGGAGGGGAGCGGGAGACTCTCGGAGCGCCCGGGAGAGGTTTTTTTCCTTCTTTTTAAAATCAGCCGTACCACCCTGAAGTGAATAGCCGAACAGCGTTCGGCTCACTTCGCTTTAGGTCGATCATTCACTTGGCTGCCTATGGCAGCTTAGTGAATAGACCCCATAGTTTTGATGTCATGCAGAGTGCCCTTCATCAGGCAAACGTACTTAATTATATTTAGAAAAGACAAATGAGGGGAGCTCAATAATAATAATCCCAAAATAATTTCACCATAAAAAGTAAAGAATATTATATATTAAGCCGCCACTCTGCTCCTCCGTTCTCTCCCTCGCTTTCATTAGAGGGGACACAGAGCGCTGTAAAAATAAAAATAGAAAACGATTGTGCGGAGCTAGCAATGACGGCTAGCTCCGCCCAACAGTTTTCTATTGGCCGGTGGTTCTGCTGCCGTCAAAAAAAAGAAGAAAAAAAAGCCCAACTCTCCCGGGCGCTCCAGGAGTCTCCTGCTTTCGGCCGCCAAGGAGAGAAACACTGCTTTTTCTTTTTTTTCTTATTCTGACACGGAGCCGTGTCAGAATAGAAAAAGAAAAAAAAAATTTGCCCATAGGAATGCATTGCTAGATTCCTACTGGGTATTTCAATTTGCAATAGCCAATAGCAAACCAGCAATGCATTCCTATGGCCAAAATTCTTTTATTTTTTTATTCTGACACGGCTCCTCTGTACGGGCTATTGTGAATAGCCCGTACAGCAGCCCTTCGGTTCTACTGAAAAGAAGGGGTCCTGGGGCCGAAGCTAGCCGAAGGATCGGCCGAAGCTACGGCTAGATCCTTCGGCTGCTTCGTGAATAGACACCTATGTCTAAAGGGGATCTAGTTCTGCTGTGTCGTCTGTTTTAGCTAACCCATAGTGCTTTGGGAATAATTTGCCATGTATTAAATGCTTATTGGTAAAACAAAAGATTGTATAGCAAAAACAGATATAAAACATTATAAAGTTCACCGAAAATCCTGTGACAGTCTCATTGTCACAGGTCGGCTAGAACTATGAGGTGAGTGGAAATCACTCATCTCATAGTTCTCCTTTAAACAGAGGCCTGAGATTCATTAGTTGTATTAGCACTTCATATATATCACACTGAAACCTGCACATGGGAAACTGGAGTTTATTGATGATAGTGTTCAATGGTTTTCCCAGCTGAGCATCATTTACCTTTGTACTGTGGGGACACTCTGTTGTTTTGTCTGAATCATTTATTTTGAACATGATAGAAGTCTCCTGTAGACAGTCAGTTTACACATGGAACTTGGTCCCTGGCTGATCTGGTTGGAAAGGATCACTCAGGTTAATGAACAGCTCCCCTTGAATAGCAGAGATTTCCTTAGGTGCCTGGCTGAGGCTGTTTTTGACATTCACCCCACCTTCACTACCAGAGAACTTTGGTAATGGTGCCTAATTGGGATAGACATTTAAATGCCTATTATGTCACACCACTAAAAATAACATAAAGAAAACATCATCTTGATTAGTCATGAGCATGGCTGGCGACCTGAACGCCTCAAACATTACTTTCACATTTAAAAACAATAAGCAATTACATTGTGTTTCGAGAAAGGGACTCACATTTCCTGACCTTCTAATCCCTTCACAACATTAAAAACATAAAGGGTTATTTAGGTTGCCCTGTGTACAGAAAGTGGATTGTAAAATTGTAAATCCTTGAGTAGTTTTGACCTCTTTGTATAGGAATAAAGAGAGCTGTACTCTTTTTTTCCCCTTCCAGCTCTAGATTTTCATCAAACCTGACTCTATAATTTCAGATTTTATCTGCATGGCTACCTACTGAGGTCAACTGCTGTAGTGTTGTAATCATACAGATATATTGGTTTTCTGTGAATTGTATGTGATTGGCCAGATTTCAGCCCACAGAGCTCTGTTAACAATAATATGTCTGGAGTTTTCCCCTTCCAGCTCTAGATTTTCATCAAACCTGACTCTATAATTTCAGATTTTATCTGCATGGCTACCTACTGAGGTCAACTGCTGTAGTGTTGTAATCATACAGATATATTGGTTTTCTGTGAATTGTATGTGATTGGCCAGATTTCAGCCCACAGAGCTCTGTTAACAATAATATGTCTGGAGTTTTTTTTTTTTATTATTTCGGTTTATTGGATTTTTCAGGTAATATACAAAACATACAATACAATAACAGGGGGTGGAGTAACCGTGCAATCGATATATAACAGTATTTAGTGAGTCAATACCCCGCGTGTCGGACAGACACTAACAGGGGGGAAGGAAATGACACGGGGAGGGAGGAAGGATTGGGGGGGGGA